ATATTCCAGACAATAAATAATTAATTTATAGATAAACTTTCAACATATAATTAATAATTTTTAATAAATATTTTGTATTAAAATCATGTTCATGAAAGTAACTATGCACTTACCTGATTTAGGTGGAAGACTCACGGGAAAGTCAGTTCTTTGACTGACTCTTCAAATTCCATTTTAGAACGACCTAAACATGAATATTGATAAGCCTTAGTATTCGTTCATATTCATAAAGTTTAATCGTTATAATCTTTTTATCAGATCTACATTAATCCAAAAAGAAAATTGATGTGTAGCTGATAAGAAACAACTAGGTAAGATCGTATCGGAGGTAGGATCCGTTTGGTATATAAAGATGTACTGTTAGGAAAATCCACTTGAAACACCTCACTGATTTAGCACTGTCATCATTCCTTTAAGTAGATTGGTCAACATAACAACTGGTATTACTAATAAATCTTATTTATATGTTCATAATAATGTTTATGAACTAAAATATAAATTATACTTAAATCACAGTAAGCATAACTCAACTTACAAGTTGTTTGACGAAAAACAAGACATTACGTAGGCAGAACTTCAACACCGTAATCTCTATTTCTCGAGGATCTCTGGCTCTCCATATCTTCACTACTAACACCTAAGAAGTACTAGAACCTGGCATCGGGACCTCGGGAGAGTTTTTGAAAGTTTTCGAGTGAATTGGTACACAAAAGATAAAGAAATCGGCCCTATTTATAGCAATTCAGGAGGGGCGCGCCACGCCTGGTGGCGTGGAAGCCTCTCCTTAAGCGACATGTCAACATTTGGTTGAAATCCTTGGGGAAGAAGGGTGTCTTCTGATCACGCCACGTGTCAACCATCCAAGGGTCCGATTTTATTAGTTTTTCTAAAAATCATAACCTTAGCATACAGACTTCGTTTTCGACGATTTTTATATTCACGTGTAGCTATTGATGAGTGCTACAACTTTCATTTATACATCGTCGGCTAATTCATATTTTATTTTTCGTGTTTCGGTTCACGGAGGCTTAGACTGTAAATAACGCTGCGAAATTCATAACTTCTTCATACGAGCTCCGTTTTCAACGTTCTTTATATCGTTGACTTTGTATCAACGAGTACTAAAACTTTCATTTAGACTCCATTAGCTAATTCTCATTCTATTTCAATTTTACAAAATCTGAACAGATTTCGCTGCGTTTTGAAACTTAGGGACCAAGTTTCGCTTATATCCTTCACATACGAGCTCCATTCTTGACTGTCTTTATATAGATCGGTTCGTATTTACAAGATCTTCAACTCTCGTGTACATTGTTTTGTCTAACAATCAATTGATTTACATTTTGATTTCTGTGTCGCATACTATTGTACTTTGTCACACTCAAAACTTTGAAAAATCATAACTTCTTCATACAAAGTTAGATTTTAGTGTTCTTTATATTGACGCGTTCCTATCGATGAGTACTATGACTTTCATTTAGATCACTTAGGCTAATAAGCAACCTATCTTCGATTCACTTTTTATGACAGATACATTGTATCTTGTCGAACACGAAACTTTAGATAAATCATAACTTCATGATACGTAGTCAAATTTAAACGTTCTTTATATCCATGTATTCATGATCATGACTACTACAACTTTCGTTATGATTATTTTTCCTAAATAATCTTTTATTTTTAATCTTTATTTTATCATTTCAACGATAAATGTTATATATATTAAAGTTTTATACAATTACTATATAATCCTAATATTTTTCCAATTAATGTATATATAATAATTATTTATTGGCTCGCAACACATACGAAGAACAATTACCCTAATCAAGGATTTTAATTGTTCTTTAAAATGTATAATCATTATTATTTCACTCTAAATGTCTAGCCCTAAATTGCGGGCGTTACATATGAGAATCCATGTAAGAGATATATGTGCTACTAACACCAATTTTCATCACCTTACTTTTAGAGAGAACTTTTAGAGAGATTGACTTTGAAACCGGAAGCACTGTGGGAGCATCTAAGGATATATATAAAATTAAGACGATTGTCTTTAGATCATTCGCCTAGAAATAGCGCATCATTGAAAATTATACACGTTTAGATCATTATTAGGAAGATTGGTCCCTTCATAAATGCATTTTTCAAACACTTCTAAGACCATCACTCTAAGCCCCTCCATCACAATGATAAAAAAGGAACAAGGATAAAGGATCTCCTTGACGTACTCCCCTTTGAGGTTTGAATTTGTTTATTGGATTCCTATTGATGAGAACCAACAAGTCAAAATCCGTGCAATCCATCTCTCCGAAAATCCCATATTGTTTAATCAGAGTCTTCAAAATTTCTAAACTAATACTATCAAATGTTTTGTTAAAATCAACTTTAAAAACAAGCATTTTCTTTTTCCTTTTTGGCCCAAGTGTTTGTTTAATTAACCATATGGGGACTATCAAGTATTTTTCTTCCATGAATATATATATATATATATATATATATATATATATATATATATATATATATATATATATATATATATATCTTAACTATCTTATAAAACATATTCACCATTTCTTAAAATTTAAGAGGTACAAAAGTTAGAGCCTTATATACAAACCTCTTATACAAATACTAATAATCATCACTAAAATCATTACCGTATATATAACATTCTTACCATAAGATTAGTGCCTCTTTAATATGGAATGTTATTTAAATTTTAGAACCATGAATTCTATAAATAAAATGAATTCTATAAATAAGGATGTCATAGGTTATCTCATCTTTTGAATACTAATATCCCTTTTCTCGATTAGAATTTTTTTTCCATAAACATCCCCTAAATGTCGCTAACTTTCTCCATATATTTCTTCCTTCTCATCTATCTCCTTTGTCTAGCATTTTATTTCACCATTTATGTGTGGTAATTGAAGTTGAAATCCACAATATGGAGAATGGTATAAGAATATATGGATCAAATTATGTTTATGTTCCCTTTTGATCCACCGTCAATGAATTTTTAACGAAAAGTTAATCGTCGCAGTGTACTAAACTTAATAGAGATGTACACAATGTTCGACCAATTGAGCAATTGTTCTCGGCTTTGGAGGGGACAAGTGTTGAAATTTGTTGAGTACTTACTCTGCATCCCCACTAATCACACAGTCTAATGGTAATTTGAAGGGATTTTTTGTTTCTTTTCTTCAATATTAATTTCTTTTAGCATGTATTATTTTTTTGGTTTTGTTTTATATCAAATGTATCTTTTCGAATTAGCATTTATCCTATTATCTAGTTGTTTAGTGGTACAAATTTTATTTTAAATTTCCGTTCAATGGTTTTTATTACTCAACTTGACTTGGTTATTTATTGATAATTTGTTTTACATAACCTACTGGTTTGTAAATTGTTGAACCCTTTTTACTATTTGACTTTTTAAGGGTTTGCTTAAATGTAAATTTGAGTGATTTTAATGCTCACATTCTCATTGATTTTTTTGGATTATTTGAATTTCACTACTTAAAATGGCTATTATTCTTTGGTGCTTAGTAAACAGGGAATTAATACGATAGTTATGAGCTTTAGACTCATTGGACTTACAAATTAGCCTTTTGTGGTTAATAGTGGTTTAGTGCATTTAAACTTTAAAAACACATTATGAAACTATGTTTAAATATTCAATATACACTCACAAAAATATGAAATCGACCAAAAGCTAGCAGTAGATGTACACAAATATCGGTTAAAATAAAACCCATTTTTTGAAAAACTGATTATAAGAAAATTGGTTTAGGTTATAATTGGTTTGTTTTTTCGGTTATTTTAGAAGTGAAATTTTGTTAAAAATTTGGCTATTCAACTTCACCCGAGAGAACTAACAAATATGTGAAACCATGGGTTTAAAATAAAAGTGTTCTGTAGCATTGCACGGGTACACATCTAGTGTGTGTATATATATATATATATATATATATATATATATATATATATATATATATACACCTTAATAAGCATTTAGCCTCAAATGTTGAGTTTTAAAAGGTACAACCCTTAACACATTATTTACAACAAGTTTATGCAATATTTTATTTAATACGGATCTACAGGGAGACCCATTCAACAATTTACAATTCTTTGTTGCGTTCTTCTCTTATCCCCTGCCTTTGTGCTTATATTTATGCGTAATAATCTTATAAACAACAAGTTACCCCACAATTTAAAGGTCATCACTCCCCTTCTCTCCCACCGTCCATCACACAACCAGCGTACCACAACATATTCGTTGCCCGCATCACCCAGGTTCTCTCTCTCTCTCTCTTTCTTTCTTTCTCTCTCTCTCTCTCTCTAACTTTATTGTTGTCGATTTCAAGTTTCTCTTTAGTTTTTGATTTTTCAAGTTTCTCTGGTTCATCTTCTTTTGGTATTTTTGATTACGTCTTCCCCTCATTCAAAGAATTTGTACCATAGTTTACTTCAAGTTTCTCTGGTTCCATTTCCTTTTCTATTAGTTTGCCTAACTATTTGAGTTTTATTTTCTTTCAGTTTGTTTCTGTGTAAGATTATTTGGGAGATGATTAGGGATTGCTTTTTAAACACAAAAGTCCTTTTTATAGAATGACTTTTTCTAAAAGATGGAGTTTAAAAAGTGTTTGGTTTGCCTTTTATGACTTTTAAGTGATAAAAGCTAAAAGTTACAAAAAGATAGGAATTCCTATCTTTTCTCCAGCCAATTTTTCTTTCTTGACTAAAAGTTGATTTCAAAAGATCTTTTCAATTTACCGAACAACTTTTAGTAATTTTTAACTTTTTGAAAAAGTTAAAAGTCAAAAAAGATGATTAAAAAGGAATCTCAAACACCCTCTTAATCTACTTTGCTTCTAAAGATGAAGACGACGATCAGAGAACCGGGTGATAATCAGAACACGTGTCCACACCATGAGCCTCTCCTTTTTTTGCCAAACGATTTCCTCTTTTTTCCCTCATATCCAAGTGTAAACCCTAACTCCATTGAATTTAAAAATTCTTATTATTCTATTGTTTTGTTAAAAAAAAATTCATGGAGCAAATGAAAATTAGATTTAGTAACTTAATTTCTTTTTGGGAAAGGAAAGGAACAAGGGTAAGATTAGCCCTGTTACATGTTGGATTTTTTTCACCTACATGCCCCTTTTCAAGTTGTTTCAGATATGGTTTGTTCAAATTATCCTGATGTTGGCTTCTTCTTGGTCACGGCCAAGATGGTGGCCTAAATACGACCATAGCCACCATTGCTTTCAAACCATAAGGTTTTTGCTCATATATGTGGGTATGGTGAGATTGGAAACCAAGGTTGGTCATCTTGGGACGAGTTGCTGGAATTGGGTTTTAGATATTAAGAGAATAATGGATGATTTATACGAATATAGAGTAGTTTGGACATTAGCGGGGGCAATTCCGCGATTATGCTGTAAGTTCTGTTTATTTACAATTATATTGTTTACTTTTGATTTTTTTTTTTTTTTTTTTGTTACAAATCATCAATTAAAATCCATTAATATGTTTCTTTATGTAAAAATATTTGGTTCTCCTTTAATTTATGTTTCTATCTCTAATTCATTCCCTATGTATCATCTATCTCATTAAATTTCTCTTGAATTTCTTACCATCACCGCACCACCACCATCACCGTCGTATCCTCTCTATTATAAATTATACTTTGGTGTGGGTTTTTGGGCTTCTGATATCACTTTCTTGTGTTAAGTTTGTGGATTTTCTTCCGGTCAATATGCAGGGTAGTAGTAGTAGTACACATTCTAGGTTGATGCTATAGTGATAATTTTTTTGTTTGGGGTGTGTGTTTCTTTCATGTGAACATTATGATAGAGGGTGGTACCTATATTAGCAAAAAAGTGATAATTGGTTTTTATACCGAGTCAATTGACCCTAAGATGGAAAATGTTAAGGTTGTCGGTGTCATTGTGCCTAATTCCATCCTATATGACATATCATGTGGGATTTGTACTTTCAATTTTGAATGTGGCAGTGAGCTCGAAATGATTGTAGTCATGGTTTCTTCTGGTGAATTTTACAAAGACGGATAAATCGTAGCAAAAACCATGTTAACATGTTTTGTCTTGGTTTAACAGGTAGAAAGGTGGAATCTTTAAGGTCTTGAAGTCAACATTACAAGCTAACTTATCACTGATTTCTAAATTGTAGGATCCAGTTTTGGAATTGCATATTAATTTATGCATGTTTTTTTTCATTTGTTTCTAGATTACTTGAGGCTCTGATGAAAATTGGAAGCCAAGGCTAAAAGCTTGGATAAAGAGGTGCTAACACTAAAAGTAAAGTATAATGCTATACCAAGGAAAATATGGAAAGTACATTGCTAATTTTCTGGTATCAAAGTCGTTGAACATTAAATGCTTGTGGTAGATACACCATTAATCTTTTTCTCCTCATTTGTGGCGTTACTCCTTTTGGATTCAGTTAGTATTCCAAATTGTTTAAAATTCTTTTTAATTATGATTTCAGTTTCTATTTCTTTGAATAAAAAATCTTTTTGTGTAATTAATGAATTTATTTTGTTATACCATATAAAATCCAACGACTTAAGAATATTAAGGAAAATAGATTGCATTGGATATTTGGGTTTATAAAAATTGGTGAATTGATTTTGATATTACAAGACGCAATAATTTCTATAATAACCACAATGTCATTACTATTATTATTATTATTATTATTATTATTATTATTATTATTATTTTAATTCATTCTTAAAGAACATTAACAAGTATAGCAAAAACTTTAATTCCAAATGTGGATTCCAATTTTAAGAATTATGGATTCCAATTTTAATGTCCGATCTAATTTCAATAAGGTTTACGAGATTACAAGTTTGTATCAATTTCGACATGATAATGCTCCAAAAGTGTTTATAAGTAAAATACATACTACTTTTTAATTCTTAGGATAATATGTTTTACCTAACAAAACATTGTATTTTGAGAAAATGACAAAAATAACCAAAAATAGTAATCACTTTGTGGAAAATAACCAAAAAAAATTGAAACTGCAAAAATGGCCACAAAAATCGCAGATGGAAATGGTCCATCTGCGATTTGCACATTCCATCTGCGAATCTACAAGTGGCTAAAGCACACTAGTGTGCTTTAGCCACTTGTACATTCGCAGGTAGATTATTTTTTATAATTTTCTTTTCTATATATATATATATATATATATATATATATATATATATATATATATATATATATATATATATATATATATATATAGGGCAGGCTTAAATCGCAGATGGACACAGTCCATCTGCGATTTCCTCTGTATTCCATCTGCGATTTTACGAATTTTTTTTTTAATTTTTTTTTATTTTGACTATGAAATCAATTGGTTTGACTACGAAATAATCTTACTATATATAAACTTTTGTAGAAAATTATCAGTTTAGTTGTTATTTGTTTAGGAAATTTCATATTTTCGGGATTGTTGAAATAATCGTCCATTTTCTTCAAGAAATCGTCAAAAGGAATCCCCGGGAGAGAGTTTTTCTATATTGAAGAGTGAAAAATGAGGAAAAAAAATTGTTTTATAGATTTTCACAACCAAAATCGCAGATGAACAGTACAAATCGCAGATGGAAATTTAGTGGTTATTTTTGCAATCTCTATTTTTTTGGCTAAATTTGTATGGTAATTAGTGTATTTGGCTAATTTTGTAATTTTCTCTTGTTCTTTTTAATTTTAGTGTTCTGTAATGATTAAACCTCTTACTAATCATCTATATACCTTATAAAGTATTTATGACTTTTAGGACAAACCATACTTAATTTTTAGTAGTATAAATAATGATGTTTTGGACACAATTATTCATTGCATATATCGGATTAAATTTGGACATTATTTCAAACATTACGGTAAATATAAGATCACAAGATAAGATTGAATTTTAAATTTTAAATAAGAAATAATGTCCAATCTTAATTTTATCCCTTAAATATCTCATCTGAAACTCATCGGAAAATGAAGTTGTCAAAAGTTGAATGGGTATTCCCTCAATTAAGGAAAAGATAAGAATTAGCACTTTTAGGACAAGCCATATTAAATTTTAAGTCATACAAATTATAAAAGTGCTAAGTACAAGTCAACAATGTGTAAATATGACTAAGGGATGTGATTCTTCCACGTTGAATTTTAATCCATCAACTGAAAAATTAATATGTATTTACCAATTATGCCCCTCATTTAATATTCAAGAGAGAGAAAGATCAATTTTTTGTTTTACACCTACGCCCACATGCTAAAATTAGAACTGGCTTTTTTCTTCTTGTTCTTCTTTGTCATTCTTTACAAACTACATCACATTCATTTTAACAGTTAATCTTTTTTATGAACCGAAAGATCCACCCTCATTTTTATACTTAAATAGGGCTTGAAACTGATAACTTTATGTCTCCACATGCTCCAAAAGATAGTGTCTCCTAGTTTTATAACTTGCAAGGCATGGCCTGCTTTCCCTTTTATTATATAAATAAAAACTGATAGAATTATGATCGAGAGGTTAACAATAGCCAAATGAGATCGAAACTGATTGGTGTTCTTAATTAGTTTGAAACCTGCATTGATTTAGTTAATAACAGAAGAGGAAAAACTCACGTCAAGTATGAACTTTCCCTGGTCGTCATACGAAAGGAAAGAAATGTTGGAGATTACGGTCCATTATCCTATACGATGTCAAACCTTATGAAATAAAATGCACACTAAACACACACACACATGACTGCAAACCGACATATACCCAAAAGACATCGCAGCTCACTAAAATTGACCCAAGCCCAACCCCTAAGAATGTTTTTCCTATTTCTTAGTACAACCATGGATAACAACTTAAAAGGCTCAAACCTCTTTCCTTATTGCTATCTGATTAACTGAATCAACCTAATAGGGTTCTTCTGGCAATTCAAAACTGAAAACCTGCATGGAATTAGATAATAGCACTACAAGAAAAACACATATACACCAAGGTATGTCCTTCCCCAATAACCCCAACCCACGAAAAGAGAGAAAATCACAAAAAAAGACTTGCCTGAGATTGCAGACCACAAAACCTATCATATAACTAGTCTAAATTTTATTTTATATAATGTAAGGTGACTTGCACAAATTTTCTTCAAGACGAAGTGTATGACTATGAAGCTCTTTCCGCATACCAACAAAAAAAATAAGAGATTAAGAGAATTGACGATTCATACGATCAAAAACTTTCACACTTCATATGCTTGTACAGAGAATCTGAGAATCATACGCATATAGAAAATCAATATGTTTAATCGTTAAAAAACTTTGATAAAACATTCGCATAACAATGACGGTGCTTGAGAATTGATAATAACAATGATAGTGATTGAGAATCACAGATTGAAACTTCATACGCATACACATGGTTTTAACATAATCATAGAATTAGAATCACTTACCATTTGAGAGTGGGCCGATGAAGAAGGTGCCCTGATGAGAAAGCGAGAATATGGAAGGAGGAGCGTCGGTCGTTTGGAAACATATCCTATAATCTTTTTCTCCATTTAATATCTAAAAACATAACTGAAGGGCATAATTGGCAATACAAATACATTTCAGTGGATTGATAAAAATATACTGTGGAAAAATCAGTTCCCATATGACTAATTCTATCACTGCAATATAAGGAAGTGATAGAATTGTTTGTTTGCATTTTAATGAAAATGATAAGATTATTAATAGATAAGATTAATAGATAACACTAAATATGTCTACATATTATAAACACAAAGTACAATTTCTAATATGCACATATACCCTTAAATTAAGGAATAAATAAGATTTAAAAAAACAATAAAAACTAATTCATATATAATGACAGATTCATAATATAAGTTAAGGGGTATTGTTACATTAGACTTTGAATTCGAAAAATCTTTTATATACAACTACCCATCTACTTATATAATGAGCAATTGATTGTACAATTCACCCTCTCACATTTGCTACTCTCCCTTTCTCTCATCACATTGCAGCCGACGAAGGAAAACTTTAGCGCTCACCAACGCATCTGACTCTCATTTGCGCAAAGAAACTAATCGCATCTAGAAACTAATTTCTGAAAGAAATTATCTGCACTCGTCGCTTAGCGCGGGTAAATGGCTAGTATGTGTGTGTGTGTGTGTCTATATATGGCTAGTAAATGGCTAGTGTATATATATATATATATATATATATATATATATATATATATATCGATTTCTCTTTGCTAACAACCAAGCAAATAACTTTTCTATTCCTTCCCTAAAAGAACTCGAGAACACATATTTGTTATCTCCTTAACAAACATTTTCTTTCCATCCTTAAAATAAATTCGAGAACCGGGTGTAATTGAGCTGATGAACATGACTAATAAAAAATATGAGAAGAGTTATGTGCTCACTTACAAATTTGTTTAGCGTATGTAGTGTATATATTATTGATCAATGATAAATTGGTGGGTTTTAGCTAGGAATGAGCACAATAACCGATCAGATCGAACCGATCCATAACTGAACCAGAATGAAGTACACAAAATGTCATTTAACTTTTAGCCTAAGATTTGTGACATGATCCTCTCTCTAAGCAAATCATGAAAGTTGTTGCCCCCTATAGTTGTCGACCTCAACTCCCAAAACAAACCAAAACCCCCCAAAAACATTATCACTTACATAAATAACAAATAATTCTACAAGTCTTTTTAGCATCTTCAAGTTTATTCAGCAGATTAAATGCCACTAATGGAAAATTGGGTTCCCCTCCTCAATGGAAGATACTTAAGTAAGTCAAACTTTTTCATGCATTGTGATGTTGTAATGTTTTAACTTTTTGATTTTCTAATGTTGAATGTCATTGATGTATCAACAAAGAATTATATGTTGCAACTTTTTGTTGTTGTAATGTTTAACTTCATAATCAACAAAGGATTTTAATGTTGTAACTTTTTGATGTTGTAATGTTGAATGTCATTGATGTTGTAATCTTGAATTATTGATGTTTATGTTATTCATTTAATTGTTTTTTTATATTTAAGAGGATGATTTAATTGTTGACCCTACTCCCATGTTAATGATGACAATTCCAATAAGTAAAATGAAGAGATTATACCAAAATATAACAAAAGAAAATAGTAACCAAAAGTAGGCAACAATAGATTAGATTGTTCGAAAACTTCCGAGATCTTTTGGATAGAAGATGATGATGAAGTGAAAAGGAAGAATGTTAAATTTAAGTTTTGCTCAACCATTCTTAAAGACGATATGTCATGTAACGTCACGTCTATTTTATTTAAACATGTTTCTAGATGCAAAAAGAATCTAAAAAAACATGAAAAATCAAAGCAC